AAGGATTTGAGGCAACAGCAATTCTCACTCTTTGTTCATGGAAATGTAAACTGGTATAACCACTTTCTAAGACAGTCAGGCAGTTTCTTATAAAACCAAACAGTTTCATCATGCAATACAGAAACTGTTCTCTTGGCATTTTCCCAGAGAATATATATTTGTGTTTCACTGTTTTCTCTTTTCTCCTATTAGTACCTGTTTGAAGTAGGTGATGTGTGCATTCGCTTTGAGGAGTGGGTGCATGTACATAACACAGCTCCTTTGTACATTTTCTTCCACTTCCCACCCACCTCCCGCCTTCCACCTCTAAATCCCCCATCCCCATGTTCATTCTCACTGCTTTTATTATTCTTAGCTCGTGTTTATGTCGCATAATGTTTACATTCATTTAGGTTAGTCGGTTCCTACACATAGCATATCTTGATTCTACTTCTTTTTCTCCTTACTCAAATGAGAGACCCCATATGGTATTTAAGGTTGTGTGACTGGTTGATTTTATCCAACTTTTTATTTCCCAGATGCATTCATTTTCCTACAAAGGTCTCAAATTCATCCTTCTGTACAGCTGAGTAGTATTCCAGACACCATGTTTTCTTTATCGATTCACTCGTTGATGGGTATACCAGCTGCTTCTGGGATAGGGCTATTACGAACTGTGCTGCTATGAACATCGGTATATGGATATCTCTGTAGTGTGATGTCTTTAGTTCTTTGGGGACGATCCCTAGAAGGGAAGTACCTGGGTTATATGGAATTCCTAATTTTAGTTCTTTGAGGTGTCTCCATACTGATTTCCAAATTGATTGCCCTAGTTTGCACTCCCATGAACAATGTAGAAGGGTTCCTTTCTCATCACCAGTATCCCAGCATTTGTTACCCTTTGAATTCTTGATAACTCATCCTTTCTGGAGGGTTTTTCAACAAATGCACCCAAAAACCCTTACACAAATGTTTAAAGTAGTTTTATTCATAATCATCAATCTCGGAAGCAATAAAGATGTGCTTTAGTAGGAAAATGGATAAGTACTGAAATATCCGGACAATGAGATACGGTGCAGTGCTAAAAGGAAGTTTGCGATCAAGTTACCAGAAGATAGGGGGAATCTGAAATGCATATCAGTAAATGAAAGAAAGAAGCAACACAAAATGATATACTTAGTGATCTCGATTCTATGACATTCTAAAAAAAAAAGAATTATGGTAACAGTAAAAAGTGGATGTTTGATGAGCAGAACACAGAAACCTTAGGCCAGTGAAAATACTCCGTGTGACACTGTACGTGCCATTATACCTTTGCCCATGGCCATAAAATGTATCACAACAGGGCCAGGGATTTAGCTCAGCGGTTCGGTGGCCTGCCTTGCAAGCGCAAGGACCTGAGTTCAATCGCCGGTACCAAAAAAAAAAAAGTATGACAACAAAGCTGAACCCTCGCGTAAACCACGGCCTGTGGGTAACGACGGGTCAGTACAGGTTCACCAGCTGTAACAGTATCTGGGGCATGTGTGGGCTGTGAACGTGTGGAACCACAGGGCATGTGGGAAATCTCTGTACCTTGCTAAACCTCCTCTAAAATTCACGTAATAAAATGAGGTGGGGGAAAAACCTGGGCATTTGACACAGGCTGCATCTCCTTGCAGTGCCACAGACACGAGGAGGGTACAGAAATCCACGCAAGACTTCGTGCTGCTCACTGCTGTAGACCAACAGTGAATGGTCCCTCAGGGCGGGGGAAGGCTGCTCTTCTCTCCGGCTCTTATAAGAACACAAAAATAGGAACTATCTGAGGCCCAGCGTTTCTGCTGTTTTATTAACACTTGTACACACACACACACACACACACACACACACACACACACACACACACACCTCATGATGTGGCAGGGCCAGAAAGACTCCAAAATCAAACGAGAATTTTTAGAACTAGATGAAGACAGAGAAAGCCTCTCCTTTCCTTTTCCTACACATCCTTTTGACCTGACCTTTTTATTTTTCTTTACTGTATGTTTCTGACTTGAGTATCAAAGTAATGACCTCATAAAATGAGTTGAGAGTATTTCCTCATTTGTTTTCTGTAAAAATGTGCTCACATTAGTGCAGTTACTTCTTTACATAGAATTTTCTAACAAAGCCATATGGACCCGTGATTGTTCCTGGAATGTTTTTAATAACAATTTCAAGTTCTGTAATATATTTGTGGAATTGAGAATTTCACTATCTTCTTGAGTTGTTTTTGTGCAAGAATTGTTTTTTGTGCCTTTCAAGGGACTTGTTCTTGATTTATTAAACTAGAACAAAGTTGTATGTGGTAATGTCAGCTGTCTCCTTGCTGATACTGCTCATTTCTTTCTTTCCTTTTTTCCTAACCAATCTTCCTAGACGTTTGTATTAGTTTTCTGGGGCTACTGTAGCAACCTGCTACAGACTGGGTACCTTAAACTACAAAAATTTACTTCACACATGGAAGAGGCAAGAAGTCTGAAATGATAATGTGAGCTGTACTGGCTTCTGGGAGGTCTCTACCAAAAGGTGCAGGTGACTGTCATGCTCTGTGCTCACATGGCCCTTCTCTGTGCACCTGTGTGTACCATGTGACATGTCTCTCTTGGTTCCCAAACACTTCCTCTTCTCATAAGGACACAAACGCCTTTGATTATGGCCTCATTTGAATTTGTTTTTGTGTTTTCAGACAGTGTCTCACTGTGTAGTTGAGGCTGGCCTTGAACTCACTATGCAGCCGAGACTGATCTCGAACTCACAGTGATCCTCCTGCCCCAGCCTCTCCCAAGTGCTGCTTTTCCTATTTATTTAGTGCAATTAGTTTTCAACCTGCCTCTGTTCCTTGCTTATTTTTTTATTTTATGAAAAAATAAGACAAAATTTCATAAAAATTAACAAGAGAATGACAATAGTTAATACACTATGTATCATTATCTTCAAAGTAGTTATTCAGAATATAAGACATTAACAAAAAAGATTCATGCACAGAAGAAACAGATACTAATACACACATGAAAATGTTCAGCATCACAGGCCATTAGAGAAATGCAAATTAACACTGCTTTGAGATGTCATCTTATCCCAGAAAAAATGGCTATCAACAAAAAAATTTAATAAAAATAAATGCTGGCAAAGATGTGAGGAAAAATTAACTCTTTTACATTGTTGGTGGGAATGCAAACTAGTAAAGCCACTATGCAAATCAATGTGAAGAGTCCTCAAGAAACTAAAAATAGAAATCTCATTTGACCCAGTTATCTTCCTTCTAGATATCTTCCTAAAGAAGGTACAATTATCATACTACAGGGACAAACGCATACCCATCTTTATAGCAAGGCAATTTACAATAGCTAGATCTTGGCAACAGTGTATATGGCCATCAACAGATGCATGGATAAGGAACATGTACTATTTATACACCATGGAATACTCCTGTGCCATAAAAAAGATAAACTTGAAGCATTCGTAGGTTAATGGATACACCTTGAGAAAATAATGTTAAGCAAAATAAGTCAAACACACAAGCTTAAATATAGCATGATTTCTCTAATATGAGAAACTCAATATATATATATATGCAAATGAGCAAAATGGAAGGTAGATAAACAGGAAATGGAGAGAGGTTCATAGGTACATTCAGATGATTATGCAAATTACCTATACCATCATTTCAAAAATATTTTAATATATATGCTAATCTGTTTCACATATCCCACTAGTTTCTCTTAGTCTAACCTACATTTTGATTTGTCTTCAACTATGGGTTATTTAAAAGTATATTTCTTGATTTTCAAGTATTTATGGATTTTCCTAGTAACTTTCTTTAATTAATTTATAATTTAATTCCATTTTTTCAAAGCATAATCATACATTGTGAATCCTTCTAAATTTAATAAAATTTTTTTATGGAGCATAATACAATCCATTGTACTAAATGTTTTGAGAGTGCATAAAAAACATATTTTGCACTTGTTTGGTGAAGTGTTCTACATATCACTTAGTATACTGGTTCAATTTGGATCTCAAAAAATATTTTCTAGTTCTCCCAAAACGTTCGGTCTTCTCAATATCAATCAATTTATAATTGTGTTTATATCGGTCTTAGTTACGTTTTTGTTGTTGAGACAAAATACCCAAAACTCACAACTTATAGGAGGAAAGGTTCATTTCAGCTCAGTTTTGCAGCCATGGCTGGCTAAGTGCAAGGAAGGGTGGCACAGCAGAGGAGAAACAGTCCACAGGCAGGATGCAGCAAAGCAGCAGCATAAAGACTCCCTTCTCTTTTATTCCGTCCAGGCTACAAGCCACACCCAGGTGGATGGTGCCACACTCAGGAGGGAACTTTCTCTTATCTACACTCAAAACTATGCTAAACCAATCTATGGACTAATTTAGTTATCACACACCCTTAATCCATATTTACACACCCTAGAATCTGCCACCTCTGAGAAGCCCCACCCATGATCACATGAGGCTTTAAGACGACAAGCCATAGCGATATCTTTGTCTGATAACTCTAATATCTGTAATTTCTGAGTCACTTTTGATTGATTGATTTTCCTTATTAGGGCTCATGTTTTCCTTTATTTTCTTTTGTATACTTACTGATTATTAATTGGGGCAAGAATTAGAAATATTACCTACTTGGGTGCCAGATATTTTTATGCTCCCATAAATTATTCTTGAGGTTTATTCCAAGGCACAAAAGTGATTTAATTCTTTCTTTTCATGCTTTTGAGTTTTCTTAGGTGGGACAACAGAAAACTGGTCCTTTTTGTGCAGCAATATGTTCTCTAGTGCTCTGCCTTTTACGCTGTGGCTGCCTTGGGCTCTCTGGCCTGATTGTCAATTTATCAAGATCGCTAGGCATTTCTAGTTTCCTTCTTCTGTTCTATTCCTGGGAACTGGTGAAGACCTGACGGTTTTAGGCCTGTGGTGGGCAAGGGCAGGAGACAGCATATTATGGCAGGAATGTATAATAGAGCCAAATCATTCACCCCATGGCCATGGAAAGAGAGAAGGGAGCAGGCTCGGGTTCCACTATCCCTTCCAAAAACAAGCCTTTCTGTGCAGTGATTGGAAGACCTTCAAGTAGGGCCCAATTCTTAGTTTGCACCACCTCAAAAGAGTGCAAAGTTGGAGAATAAATCTTTATTTAACACATGGGCACTCAGAGGACATATAAAATGCACACTATCATATATTTTTAACATTTTACTGACTTCTATTATCTTCAGTTATATGTAGTCCTCTCTTTTGTCCACATGCTGTAAATGCCTGAAATTATCAGAAGGGTCTGGTGTGGCGTCCCTGATTTCTACTGATGAATTTTATTTCAGTATAACCCTTCTAATTATACATTCAGAATATTAATCTTTAGAACAAGTAAAGCGGGGGATAAAGAAGAGAACGAATGTATCAAAATCAACTGTTGAACCTTTGCCATACTGCACGCTCTTTAGCTGCCCTACGATGCTTTGTTCTTGGTGGGAGCACTGTTGCTTTCAGGAACAGTCTCTGCATTGTTACTGACTAGAATGTAACTCACCTTTTAGTGTTTTTCAAGGTATGGCCATGTTTATTTAAAAGCATACTACACGTGCTGGAGAATCTTCAGGAATGGTGCCAGAAATCCTATTTTTAACTAGCTCCCCAAGTGATTCCTCCTGTTCAGTGTGGTTTGAAAACTACTGCCTTGGTGAAGGAACTTAATATCCCTTTGAAACATGTCCCACTTTGGTACATCTCACCATGAAAGCACATCTTTTTGCCTCTAAATGTTTCAAGTCTCATTTTCTATGGTTTACAAACTATGTTCAACTATTCCCATTATTCTTTTATTTTTGAATTCAAAGTAAGGATAGCCATATAATCATAACCATTATAAATACATAGAAACATGATACATAGTTATAAGAACAGATGGGAATAATGATTCTCTGAACTTTACAAATTTCTGACAAGTCTTATAAAAAGCTCATAGTTTATCCTAGTACGAAATGCATTTTTCAACCATTTCTGATACAAAGTTTCCAAAAATACACTATGTACATTTTCAGGGGACAGGATTTACCTCAGAGTACTAAATGACTAATTTAGTAATTTTTGATGTGTCCATTATTTTATGTATCAAATTTTCTGAACATTACTAAACTACGTAGTCATCCAGTCAAAATGAGGTGTCTTCCAAATGGGAGAATATACTGGACTTCAAATGTGATCATCAAAATCATTAAATAATTTATATTAGTAATGTTAACATTGTTGATATTATCCTTTATACAGTTCTTTAAAAGCGTTTCTAAGTGAAGGTACAATATTTGGAAAATCCCCTGAACACATTTATTATTTATAGCTATAATTAAAAGCTAACTGAAATCCCACCTCCACGATTAATACTTTAGACTCTTATTTATTCTTTTAATGATTAGAATTCGGGGTAAAATTTAGTAAACATTTTTTAAAAAGCTTAAATTTCAGGTGGAAGCATTATTATTTTACTCTCGAGCAAAGAAAAGCAAGTGGGAAAGTGCCTTATGGTAAATAATGCCTTTTTTATTATTGGTATAAAAGTTGTCACTCTAAGCATAACCTAGAAGGTACTTTGAGTAGTTTTCTATGCAAAGAAATAAAATCAAATGATTAATGCACAGGCTGAAGTGTAAGCTAGATTCAGGATGAAGCAGGAAACCCCATACTCTAGCATTTATAGTCAAGACTGCCAAGAGTAAATTAGGAATGAGGACATAACCAAAGACTTTTGGCTTGGTGTTCTCCCTTTCAAAGAAGCGAGGCAATATTTCAAGGATGTTTATATTACTGTTTGATTATACATTCAGAGTGCTTCTCTGAATTATACAAGCTTATTAAATCTCTGCAAGAATAAAACACTCTCTAAGATATTTCTGTGATTTCTTTGTTCTAAAAGGACCAAACAGAAAATGGCAAGATCTTTGATCAGAGTGTTTTGACATTTCTAGTCTAACTGATTCCAAGTTAATACCAGGATTTCTGCACAACATTTCATGTTTAAAGAGTAATACATTAAACATTTTGTTGGAAAGATTCAAGTACTTATTCATTTAACAAAATTGTCTTCAATGACTCCCAGGCCCTTCTACAAGGTACTGGAGATTTAAATCTCCTACTTCTTATTTTAATTAGACTACTTTATCCATGTTGCTGTAAAAAACAAGAAGAAATCTTCATTACTTACCTGTCATTAAACAAGTGCCTCCGTGAAGCCTTCCTTGATCATTCCAACTAGAAATAATCACTCATTAATTTCATATTTTATGAGACTGATCTCCACATCTCATTTCTCAGTATAGTCCATGAGCTCCTAGAGAGCTGGGTTCCTCATGCTACATCCCACTAATTTATTCAAAAAGTAAAATACTGGGTCAGGGATTGTGGGAAATGTAAGATAAATAAGACACAGCTGCCATCACAACCTTGACTGGAGCATAATCAGCTAGGTAAGATGTGTAATTATCTTGACATGATATTTTAAAACGTTTTTACATTTAAAAATGTGTGAATTTGAGCTGAAGGCTTTTCCCAACATTCCTTTCCCCTGCTTTATTATAAACCAAAAAATATTTAATTTAATTTCATGCCTAATGTATGGGCTAAATAAATACATGCATTGGAAGAGGATTTCTTGAAAGAAGTTTTTAAAAATTCAATATCAAATTCACCAAAGTTCTCTTTTTGCTCATGCATTTCATAAAGCCACCCACTGTGAAATTCATTGCATTCACATTTTCAGATTCTGGTGGCTCGTAAAAGGATGGAAATCTTAATGCAAACACGAGGCAGCAATGTTATGGGGAGGAAAAGGCATTGAATTTCAAGTCAGGGAACGGTTTTGGTTCCTAGTTCGGTGAACTGGGTCATTAGTTAACCTCTGCCTTTGGGTCTCAGTTTTCTGTTGAGTGAAATAAGGACAATAACAGCCCTAAGCGTTGTGTGGCTTAAGTGAAAGACTGTGTCTGAAAGAATTTGGTAAATGCAAAGCATTTCAAAAATGATATTGTGGGCTCACAGGTTACTTGGTCAGTAAACGTGTACCACATAGTCAAGCACAGTAGGAACTTTCTGCCACATCTTGCCAGCCTTACTCGACTTTTAGAAAAGTCACCCTTTGTCAGCAAATCGCAGTCTTTCCATCTGCAACCTGAAAAGGTGCCATATACAGAGGAAAGCACAGTAGAATCTAGTATGCCATGACTCCAACCATAGGTATCAGACCTTCAGAAATCTTTATAATAAAAGTAACAGGCAACTGTAGCACTGTAATTCGTACAAGACTAGTAGCTCCCCTGTTATGGAATTTGTTTGATGTGCCAGATAGTGTACGAAGCACTTCATAGACATTACCGTTGCATCGTGTATGGGCAGACATCTCAAACTGCAGTCAGAAAATGCCACACTGAGTTGGACTGCACCACAACAAAAATGTTAAGAATAGGTTTTAGAGCCTAAAAGTGTAGGTTCACAGCCAGGCTTCATGCCTTAAACTAAGTCATCTCTACTACCTAGTTCCTCATCTGTTTATTACAAATAGGGCTACTATAAGATCCTCACAGGATGTTAAGAAGATTAAATTTGCAAAGATACATAAGAGTACATGCAGTTTCTTGCATAATGTGTTTTGTTTTGTTTTGTTTTCAGCATCTTTACCCACTAGCAAATATTTCAGGCAACGTATCTAAGCTTTCTAGACCTCAATGCTCTATCTTTACAACGAGGATAAGAATTCCTAACATCAGTATACCATTATGAATAAACTGCATAATGAATAAACTGGAAAACACTACAAACATACTAGTTTATCACCAAATTTCTTTTTTTATATATACTTTATGCTTTTCACAAATCCTAGTAAGTGACCCAGCATGCACTGGTAGGAAATTCTGGAGTAAATTAAAATTCCAAGAAAGCTGTGCATTTTATCACCAAGAGCAGTTATCTCTCTTGGGCTATCTGGACTTCCCATCAGCAGCTTCCCCAGAGTCTTCGAATTTGACAGCGTGATACTGTGAGGCTTAGTATCAGCAATCCCGAAGATTCAGCGGGCTGCAAGACACCCGGGACCCATCTGCTCTTCTGTTGATTCACCGGACAGCAAAGAACAACATCCCCAGATGTTCACCCATACAATACCCAATGGGCCTACAAAGATTACAAGCGGGGTCACTACGAGTTCCTTCCTCGGGACAGTGATAAGGAGCAAGGGAGTAGAGAGGTAGCTTGTTGAAATGAATGTTATGCAAAGAAATGAAATAAGCTATTTTGGGCTCAGAATTCTTAAGGACTGTACTCTTTGACATATATTTGAACAGCTTGTCCTTCATTTTAACTATAATTATACATTGGACTTTTATAAATTATGAAGATTCAGTACATTATGAAGTTGCTAGTTCTCAAATAAAAAGTAGCATATATGTTTCACATTTAATCAGTACAAGTATAGGCCAAAGGAAATATACTGCTGACGAGCCCATATCAACTCCTTTAATTCAACAAATATAAACATTAGCATTAGGCTATATGAGTTTTTAATCTTATTTATAATGTAGTTCACTCAGAAATTTTTAAATGATGTTTTTATCTTTGATTCTCTAATGAGATATTGTAAGGGGTCAATGTCAGTGGACTGAAGTGACATCCAGAGGGTGATGTTTTGCAGGACAAACCCATCCTAGACATACATGCTTCTGCAACTGGAAACCGAGAACCAATGAGAAATTACTGCATGCATCCTAACTTTTAAAGCATTAGCATTTGCAATTTCTCAGGTTCTAAAGACATAAACGATCACTTCCTACTGATACAGCCATGTGAATAATGTAAGCAACAGCATCATTTAACTGCAAAACATTTTACCAGTGTCAGTCACTGTAACTCTTAATCTTGACTTAAGGTAAGGGAATCCGCATTATTTACATACTTTTCAGTGACTCACATTAGCCTTCTTTTAAGATCCCATTTACAGCTTCTTTGGTTTTAAATTCAACTCACTATTCCGTCCAATTAGAAATAATCTCCTTTTTTCCTACATCACACTTAATTTTCTTACTCCCTCC